ATAATAATAATAATAATAATAATAATAATAATAATAATAATAATAATAATAATAATAATAATAATAATAATAATAATAATAATAATAATAATAATAATAATAATAATAATAATAATAATAATAATAATAATAATAATAATAATAATAATAATAATAATAATAATAATAATAATAATAATAATAATAATAATAATAATAATAATAATAATAATAATTACAGCTGTAATTATAATTATAATTGTAATAATAAAAATAAATAATACTTTAACAATACTATCAATATTCCTAACCACTTTTACTTTGCCAGTAGGCTTTTCTTTATCAGTTGATTTAAGCATAACATTTTGTTTGCTGCAAAAATTAACAACATAATGTAAGATGTATTCGATCTCTAAACATCTAAATGATAAGTTTCATTTTATTGATAAGTAAATTTTAAAACTTTTACCTATTTCCTATTTTTGGTTCTTCTGGCTGTGAAACTTTTCTTGCATCTCTTGTACGGATAGATTTCTACAAAAAGTTTTACACTTTCAAAATTTAATTAATAGAGATCAAATTTAAAAATTTCTCAAGTCTAACAATGACGAATTTTTTTCTTTAATTGAATTTTTCTGTCAAAAAATTTTAACTTTTCAAAATCAACTTAGAATAATACAGTTTTAGCATATTATCTTTTCTTTTAATGCTCAGTGGAACATTCCGGTTAAATCTACCGGAAAAAAGTGAAACAACAAAGTCCAACATTACATTTCCTTTTCATCCCTCAATGGAATATTCCGGTTGAATGTGCTGGACAATGGGAAATAAAAATGTTTAATTACATTACATTTCTTTTTGATGCTCAAGAAATATTCCCGTTGATTTATTCGTTACTTAAAAGATTAACATACATGAATATTCTAGAGGATAATATTAAAATCACTTACAGTTTTCCGGATCGTTTCGTGTTCTGCCAACTCAGAAATTAATTCATATATTATTTACTGATATGATTTTAAATTAAAAATAAAGAAAAAAAAAGGAACTTTACCTCAAAAATTTAACATATTCAATATTTCAAACAATTAACCAAAAACTTATCTGTTATGTTAATTAGTAATTTGCTTAAATCTTTTTAATTAAATCTTATCATCTTATTATGTTATTGCTACTTCCTTCAACAATTTCTAATTCCATTTTCAATCCCATTTTCTTTTCTCTATCTTATAAAATATTTCTCGTTTCATTACTAATTATGATAATTGATAATCTATTTCTAATTCCATTTTCAATCCCACTTTCTTTTCTCTATCTTATAAAATATTTCTTGTTTCATTACTAATTATGATAATTGATAATCTCTTTAGAATTATCAAACCTGATTGCATTTCAAGTTCCATAAGTCTTTTCCTGTTTGCTTTACAAAGAAGAATTCGAAAAACAATAATAGATGTTAGGATAGCACCAGTTATGATAATAGATAATACAATTAGAATAACGAAAAACTCATCAATCACTTCCATATCACTCTCATCATATAATCTTATCACAATTTCTTCATCCAATCTAAATATTAACTAATAAAATGTTGATCAAAGATTGATAACAATAATTATTAATTTATGATAATTGATAATCTCTTCGAAAGAATTAAGCCTCGCTATTTAAATTTAATAAATCATATTATGAAATAAATTTAAATTTTTCGATTAAAGATTTTTTTCTTGTTGAAGAAAAGAAGTGAAAAGTGATTGCAGAAAATGTTGAATTGAGAAATTAAATATTGTTTTGAATATTTTCAAAAATATTGCCAAATTTCTATTCATTTATGATTTGTAAAAAAAATTATTTTATTTTAAATTTTATAAAACTATTACTTTTGTATTAATAATTCATTAATTCATTAAATATAGCTTCTTTAATAAGATAATATGTTACAAATTATTTTGCATAATTTTAATTATCAGTATGAAATATGAATGATGAACAAATATGCAAATTGAACGAAAATAATAAGATTAAATTGATAACAAAAAAAAAAAATGATAAATTTTAACGAACTTTTCTGTTGCCATTTTAAATAAATGCCGATTTTTTGCTGCTATTCGTTTGATTATCTTTAAGTTTGATTATAAATTAATTTTTCATTAATTAGTTTGATTATAAATTAATCATAACTTAATTATTATTTTTCCTTTTTTTAAATTTTAATTGGAATATTTGTTCCACTTTTTGAAGAAATTTTTCAGAAATTGGAAAATTTTTCTCAAATAAAATAAAAAAACTTTGCAAAAATTAAAATTTATTATTATCAACTCTTTTGAATATAATTACTAATAAGTTTTGAAAAATTAATTTGCAATATTTTGTGTTTTAAAATAAATGCAAGAATTGTTGGTAATTTCGTCAAATTTCTTGCAACCAAAAATGTTTTCATTTGATAATATTCCAAAATGTCAATTAGATTAAAAAATACATTGAATCAATCTTATTGTCATAATTTTTTTTTTTTCACAACTGTCCAATTTGTTAGTACTCTTACAATTTAACCTTTGACCCTTGCGGTAAAACATAATGAAAATTTTCGTACCCTTTTTATTTTTTTTAAATTTAAAATTAAATTTTGCACACGCTTCGGTATTTGTGATAACTTTAATTTGCTGATATATGAAGTACGAATGATACGATACAACCATCCAGAAAGGATTTAAACAGACAAAAGAAAAATAACAAAAAATTTTTTCAAATTTCTTCTTTCAAATAAATAGTTAATGAAAAATATATTTTCGTTTTAAGCAAATTTTTCATTTGATCGAAAAAAAAAAGTTGATAAATTTTTGCATAAATTAAAATCTTTTTTGTTGACATTTTATTTGTCACATATAATAATTTTTCCTTGAATATCACCATTCATTTTAATCATATTTTCTAGCATTTTAATTGAATATTACTACTTCTTTTATTTCGAACTTTTTATCTTATCGATTTCATTCTTTCTATTCCAAGAATTTATTTGAAAATGATTTATTAATTGATATATTTTAGGGCTTTTTTTTCGAACATTTTAAAAAAAGAATTGCAAAAAATGTGAAAATTCCATCATAATTCATTCTGTTATCATTTATCATTACTAATTTATGATAATTAATTATCACTGATTACCACTCTGTCATTTTTGTGAAATAACATCAAGAAGAAAAAAAAGCAAAGAATTAATTTCTCTCTGCAATTTATATCAGCTATTATCATTACTTTTTTTATCGTTTTAATCACATTTAATGATTGATCATATCAATTGTTATCAGCACTTTGTTCATTCCATTGTATATATTTAATAAGTAATGGTAGTACAAATCCCAAAAAGAATATAAGCAAACTTTTTAACAATTTCTTATGAATTTTTTTTTTTCTCATGAAACATTATATGAATAATTTCTATCTTACAAAATCTAAATATTATATATTTGCTTTTTTTTTTTAAACAAATAACATTATCAGTAGAATTTTTTGGTATTTAAAATTAAATTATAAAGCTAAAGTTTCATAGTTTCTTGGCGTCAAATTGTTTGAAATGATTTGAATTTTATTAAATGTCAGTTCGAATTTATTATCTGATAAAAGTGATAACTGCTAAATTATCTTACAATTTATACATTTTCTTCAATTACGCATCATTTTTGTTGTGATAAATATCGAATACTGTTACAGTATTTGAATTAATTATTGGTACTTCCTTTGCTACTGTAAACGTTTTACTTTTCATGATTGAATTTTAATTAAAGAAGAGGAATGATTCTGGCAGGGAAATCTTTCAGGTACGATATTTGGTAATTAATAGTCTGTAATTAGTCAATATATTGATAAGTAATCAATGTATCTTGATAATTGATATATACGTAAAATGTTACTAATTATTAAAATTGCAAATTAAATAGCTTTTCTTTTGCACCTGAAAGGTTTCTTATCAAAGTATTATCAAATCACTCCTTATCATTTTCATTTACAAAGGTATTATTCTGCTAGTCATCAAAAGATCTGAGAATACTGTTATACATTCAATAGTATTCTCGTCTAGACTGACGATAATCTTGGTGTCAAGTTTTCATACTACAGTAATAAGGAATTGATTACTGTTGCATACCATTATTACAGTAGATCTGACTTAGTAGCAGTAGTAAAAGTTGATTTCAACTTTGAACTTTGAACTAATCGTTTGGTAATTTTTATTAAACAATCCTCAGTGATAACAATTGCGTAAAACTATTTTTTTTACTTCATTCTTTGATCCAAATTCATTATATATCATAAAGCGTCAAAAAATAAAATAAATAAATAAAAAAACAAAAATCTTTCATTTCTATAGTTCTTATAGACATAAACGAGGGAAAAGAGAAATTTTTTGATGCAATAAAATTTGAAATTATCAACTGCAATAATAGCATGTATAATGCGGGAAGAACTACGGTAGAATACGGTAGAATACGATACGGTATGATAGGGCAGAATAACTATGGTATCTGCAAAACAATATCATTTTTTATTTGTAAATGTATGAAAATAGCAAAGATAAATGAAATATTGCGAAATAGGAAGGAAAAAAAAAGAAGAAGGAAATTATGATGAGCGGTGACAAGTAATTAGACGACAAATTTCTGGCCATTTCCAATAAATGGCAGTACCAAAATTAAGAAGCCAATGAATTAACAAAGCCAAGCAACCAATGTAAAAACCACTTCCAACACTGCCATTAACATTTGTCGTACATCTATTTGATATACCAGCATTTACTAATCGTCTAACAACACGATTTACAGTATCTGTAAATGTCAAATTAATTAATGCAAAATATTTTGTGAAATAAAAAGTTTAACATGGAACTATTCACTTGATCATATATTGTTTTTTCTAAAATTAATAAAAGTGTCATTTCGTCCTAATGCATTTGACAAAAATAAAAATAGTTTTTAAATTAAAATCTTTTTTTCTAAAATTTTAAATGCAAAAAAAACTGGAGGTTCAAATTAAATTTTTAGTTGTAATTTCATAAATACTTCCAATATTCATATAAAATTTGAAATAAAAATTTCTATTTGAATAAGAAAACTTTTAAATTAATTTTAACTTTATTCACTAACCAATTGCTTGTCCATTGCAACAGGCATATAAAATGATAGCAGTGGTTAATGAAAGTGCTAGAATAAGATTAATTTGGAATAGAAAGGTGACAGATGGCATTCGGCCTATATGCTGACCGTCGTAATAAATCAATGGTGTTACTAACGCCAATAAGTCAAGGAGGCTTGTTGACAAAATCAAAATCATAACAATATTATCCGATATTGGCCTCTACCTAAAAAAAAAAAAAAAAAAAGAAAAAAGAATTCGAACTTGAAAAGTATTTTTTCTCAAATTTAAATACTTAAAATGGAGTAAAAAAATTTTCATACTTAAAAAAGAAACAAAAAAAAAAAAGAATGTATAATGAAATGTTACTTACCAATGACCATATCAAACAGAATTCATTTGTGTTATTCATTTGCATGAATGGATTACAAGTATTGATGGGAATTGAATTGTTATCATTTAATTCCATTTCCATGCTCCAATTTGCCTTTATCATATCATTTTCATCCAACATTATATCATCAACCGTAAATTGATCATCCGTATCAATTTTATAGGAACAACGATTTCTCAAAATACCCATTTGTCGAGGTATGATTAATTTTGGTTCATTTGAAAATCGTGGAATATTGATTGCATCATTATTCATTCTCATTGTTACACTATTCGTTATTGTATTATTGTCATTAGTATCAATCAAATCATAATTATCAGAAAGTACCAAATTTCGCCAATCTAAAAATACAAATTAAAAATTTTAAAAAAAATTTTAAGAACAAAAAGTATTTTTTTAACTTTCATAATTTTTATACTTTTAAAATATTTCTCTCACATGAATATTTTTAAATTTTTATTAAACACTTAATTTTATAATTGTAAATAAATTCCATTAAAATAATAATATTTCCTTTATTTGATTAATTTATTCATTTACAAAACAATATATTCCTAATATTTTATTAAATATTTAAATTAATGCAAAATCATTTCATGCAAATTTATAATATCTTTGCAATTCAATACAACTATTTTACAACAATCTGCCATTTAATGAATAAATAATGCTCAAACTTAATAAGTTTAATTAATTAATTAAAATCAAGAATTTTTTCCACTTTTTTCATTTTTTTTTTTTTTAAAACAGAGCAAAAATATTGAACAAGGTCAAAGTTAAAGTTAAACTTTTACTTATCCGCATTAATTTGAATAATAAAATTAAATTTTTTGATGACAAATTAACAAACTTGGACTAAATAATGCATAATTAATCATAATGACAATCAATATTAACATTGTCGTATAAGCAATACGAAAACGATACATTCCACGATCAAGATGATCCATTATTTCTATCTGAAAGTACATTAATAATATTAAGCATTAATTATGCTAATTATGTATATAATTTTATAAATATGAATATCGAATAAAAGAATGTCAAAAAAAAGAAAAAAAATTAGTTATCATATCACTAAAAGTATTACAATATCGCATAAATCGGTGAAAAATCGTTATCATATCACTTAAAGTATTACAATATCGCAATGAATCGATGAAAAATCGTTATCATATCACTAAAAGTATTACAATATCACAATATCACAATAGCTAGTTATTTATGATGATAAATAATACGAAAGAAAAACAAAAAAAAAAAATTGGCAATCCGAAAAAAAAAAGTTTTAGAAAATTTAATAAAAAAATAAATGAGTGATTAGTTTGATACTTTAATTTATCATAAAATATAAAATTGTTTTTGTATTAATAATCAAATAATTATTTCAATATTACTTCACCTTGTAACTATTATAGATCGAAGAATGCTAATTAAGTTTGTTGTTAATTAGTTTTTAATATAATGTTAATATTTTATAATCAAATAATAATTTCAATATTGTTCCATCTTTCAACTAGCAAAAATCAGAAAATGCAAATTAAGCCTGCTATTAATTTAGTTTCTGATACAATTATTAATATTTTAGTAATCAAATAATTGTTTCAACATTATTTTATCTTTCAACTATTAAAAACCAGAAAATGCAAATTAAGCTTGTTATTAATTAGTTTATAATATAATATTAATGATATTATCAAATAAAATTAATAATTTTAATCAACAAACAGTTAATATTAAAGAATAAAAATGCAACTTAATTAATTATCACATTAGTTTAGCATAAGTTTCATCTCGAAAATTCTAATTTTTACGTGAAAATAAGAGAAATTATTAAGACATACTAACTTTAAAAAAACCAATCATTGCATATGACATTGATTAATGATGAATAATTTTGATCTAAACTAGAAAATAAATACCTCCATTAGATCAAAATCTTTTCTGGAATACAGAGGAATACTTAATTAATTACTAATTATAACGAAGATTTTTTCTTCCCAGGTATATATGTATGATTAATAGATTGCTAATTACTTACAACATTTAAAAATTATAAAAATTTATGTTGCTAATAAATTTATGTTGCTAATAATTTTCATAAAAGCTTATTAATTTTACAATTACAAATTAAAAGTTTTTTGTTTGTTCAGCGATAAATTAATTGTGCTTTTAATATTATTACAAAATAATTTAATTTGCAAAAAAAAAATCAATTTAATTTCAACAAGTAAAAATGAAAATTTTCATTTTATTTTCTTTTTTTGTTTCTTCCAATCGATTTTTAACTTTTGATAATAAATTATTTTATAAATGCTATGTAAATTATTGGGGTTATTAGCATTGAAATTTTAATGAAAATATGAGAATCTTTTTGGATATTTATATTAATTCATAAGAAATAATATCAATATTACATTCATTAATTGAAATTAATATCACACATAAAAAGAAATGATTAAATCAAATCAAATCAATATTCGAAACAATACTTCCCTATTGTCCCGAGATTTTCAAATAAAAATTTTTGATCAATAATTACTTTAATTCGTATATTTCTCATTGTATGATTAGAAAAGTTGTTTAATATTTTTTAATAATATCATTGCTGAATTAAATTTGAATTGCATCAAACAATGATATCATTGATTAAATAATAATCATAAACAATTTATAGGTTAAT